TAATCAAATGCATTAGTTGATTAGTTGATCATCAGGAAGTGTGACCACCTCTATAAAAGCAGAAGTTTTGGCAGTTTGGTGATCTTGAGCATTCAGGTGTGTTAACACCATGCAAAGGAGAAAAGACATCAGCAATGAACTCAGAAGAGCAATTGTTGCTGCTCATCAATCTGGGAAGGGTTATGAGGCCATTTCCAAACAATCTGAAATCCATCATTCTACAGTGAGAAGGATTATTTACAAATAGAGAACATTCTTCTGAGTTCATTGCTGATGTCTTTTCTCCTTTGCATGGTGTTAACACACCTGAATGCTCAAGATCACCAAACTGCCAAAACTTCTGCTTTTATAGAGGTGGTCACACTTCCTGATGATCAACTAATCAACTAATGCATTTGATTAGCAGCACCGGGCTGCTAATTACCTTCAAGACGGTTGCCAATCTTCCCAGGTGTGAGCGTCCCAGCAAATTCACCCCAAGGTCAGACTGTATAATGGTCAGAGAAATCACAAAGAACCCAAGAACTACATCTAGGGATCTGCAGACCCAGTTAACATGTTAAATGTTAAAGTTCATGACAGTACGATCAGAAATAGACTACAAGTATGGCTTTCATGGAAGGGTAGTCAGGAGAAAGGCCCTTCTCTCCAAAGAGAACATGGCAGCACAGCTTACTATAGGTTTGCAAAGTTGCATCTGAACAAACCACAAGATTTCTGGAACAGTGTCCGTTGGACAGACAAGACCAAAGTGGAGATGTTTGGTCTTTATCCACAATGCCGTGTTGTGGCGAAAACCAAACACAGTGTATCACCACAAACACCTCATACCAACCATCAAGCACGGCAGTGGAGGGGTGATGATTTGGGCTTGTTTTGCAGCCACAGGACTTGGGCACCTTGCAGTCGAGTCGACCATGAACTCCTTTTTAGACAGTACCAAAGTATTCTAGAGACAAATGTGAGGGCATCTGTCTGACAGCTAAAGCTTGGCCGAAATTGGGGCATGAGACAGGACAACGATCCCAAGCACACCAGCAAATCTACAACTGAATGTCTGAAAAAGAAAAGAAACAAGGTGCTGGAATGGTCAAGTCAAAGTCCAGACCTCAACCCCATTGAGATGCTGTCTGTGAGACCTGAAGAGAGCTGTGCATAAACAGGTGCCCTCAAACATCAGTGAACTGAAGCAATGTTGTAAAGAACAGTGTGCCAAAATTCCTCCAAAACAAGAGACCGGAGAAATATTTATAAGAGACTGATAAACTCATTCAGAAAACTATTACTTCTACTTCTGCAAGCTACTGAATCATGGGGTTTTTCACACATGGCTTCTGCATGTTAGCTTATTTTTTGTTAAATAAATAATGACATAGTGGAATCTGTTCTGTGTTGTTTATCACCCGAGGTTAGGTGTACCTGATTTTAGGACCTGGCAAGGACCAGATGATTTTTTGTTATGTCCAGATATATAAATCCATAGAATTAAAAGAGAGTGTACTTTCTTTTTCACATGACTATATGTGTTTTTGTACGTTAAAAAACATTAATTTATACCATCAGTGATTTCTGTTACACATACTCATGATATTAATGCACAAAGTCTGGGTATGTATCTGTTCAGGTTAGTATAATCCATCTACTTCACTGTTCCCTTCAGGCTTGCTGTTGTTCTGCTGTACTGTTAATTCCTTTTCATTATCAGAGTTTGATAAGTGGATTTCTTAATGCTGTACGTGATGAAGTTCAGAGTAGTATTGAAGCCAGCAGCTTCTTTTGGAAAGCAGTTATCTGGAAAAATAAGAAAAACAGTATCATTTTTACTATCTCATACACGCATGTTTGAGTACCGTGCTGCTACTGTACTACTATAATATTATATAGTGCTTGCATCTATGCTGAATGTTTTGTTTTTAATGTGAGAATAACATTCTTCATTCATATCTTCACTACTCATGGTCTGGTTGATCGTACAGTTTATTTTATCATTTTCTTAAAATTCACTTCTCTTTCTGCTGTTTTGGTGCGATACATTTATTTAAACTGAAATGTTGAAGCTTGTCATTTTTTTGGTAAAACACAAGTATGAAAGAGACCTTTTCTAATCCATTTTATCTGCAATAAATTTTTCATGTCTATCTATATGTTCATTCACTTTCAAATATTTTTTTATCTTGCTCCTGTCTTCACCCAATCTTTTGAACTGGAGACAAGAAAATGCTTCTGTAATGTATGTACTGTACGTGTGATTGTTTAGAATTGATTTACATAGGTAAGTTAAGAAATCCTTCTTTTGCTGCAAGATAGGATTCTGAGTGATTTTTTTCTTTAAATCTCTTGATCACTTTAATTTTTTGCAAGGCTGCTTCGCTGGTGTCCTGGAAAAAATAGAGAGTTAAGGCTTTATCAGTAAGTGCCCTGAGGTATGTGGCAAAGCAGCTAAATCCTGAGAGATTAGCAGAAAAATGCAGCACACTGCAATAAGGGGCTTATATGACTACTTGTATTAGTTCAGGTGAAAAGAGTATTGCTTTTACATAAAACTGGACAAATCCACTGACAATGTATTTCTAGTCAGCTACAAAGGAATCTTATATCTCTGGATTTCACCTCTTCGTTGGTTCAGTAAGCTTTGGAATCTAAATACTCTCCTACTGGACCCTATTCTGGTCGTAATACCTTGCACAAAGTAGTTCAAGAAAAGTTTTTTTTAATTTATCTTTGTAAAATCATAATTTAGATTGCAGCCATGTGCAGTGGTTTGTGTTTGTATTTTATTCCTCATTCCATTCATATATATACCCACAGGACTTTAAGAAATCAAGACTGAAAGAATAAATGCTGAAAAATATAAGCATATTTTTTAAGGAATATAAAGTGTTTCATTACAGCGGAGCTGAAACATTCAGAATTCAATTAAATCAGTAAATTACATAATACTCTAGATTTTACAAGATTATTGATTTTGGTTTACCTCATTTAAGAATTAACATTTTCTTTTATTTGATCTTTTAGGCGAATGTTAATTTGTATTTGTACTTTTACACAGTAAACTGAATAATCATTTTGGTAAGACTTCTTTTAATACACAGTGTAGACGATTCCTACAATTATTGCTTCATGTTTTAACATTTTGTATATTTTTTCATGGAGGCATCTTTTATATCACTACTGAAAGGTCGTAGCTGTCAGTAGGTGGAACACTTATTTCCGGTGAGAGGGTGTACAATTTGTCATATCGGGGAGGATTGATTAGTCAAATTCTTTAAAGATCATATTGCACTTTTCAAGTTACAAAGATAAAAGGTGCATTTAGTTAGAAATATTGTTATAATCTGAATTATTTACAGTATGTTGAGGCCCTGTGGTATTTCCTCATAGATTTCGAATTCTACAGCAAAGGATTTTTCATGTCAAGTACTTATTCATCTTCCTATACAATTGTTCTTATACAACTGTTTTTATTGCATTTAAGAAGGTGAAATGCAGTTTTCATCAATTGTCAAAGAAGGGTTAACTTGCTTGTATACAATTTGTATTTTTTTGGATAGATTTATATACATATACATGTTTATATACAACGTTTATATTAATTGAAGTTGCCTTTGAAGTACACAAATGTGTTGTAAACTACAAAATAAATGCACTGAAGATGAATATTTAAAGACATTATTTGCTTATAGTATAAGGAATATTAAACTAATTGCATTTAAGACCAAATGAAACATAATGCAGTGAAAATATATTCAACACAGTGCTTGACTATTACAAAATATAATCTTATTGCTTTGTACTATGGCCTTTCATTTTCTTGAAAATTCTTTCTGAATGCAAATTATGTAAGATACAGTATAACTTAAGGTTGTAGTATAATACTAGCAGCACATTCTTTCTAATAGATAGCTAATTAGCATAAGCAGATAGTGGTGTCTTTTCATGTTGTTGCTATGACCTAAGCCACCCAGTTAGGTCCTTATCTAGCAGGTACAGGGTTTTATTTTCATTTTGGAATGTACCTATTGGAACATTCCTTTCAAGTGCCCCAAGTTCAAGTGCAGAAAAAAACATTTCATTGTCATCTTCATTCCAAGAATGTCCTGTCACTGTAGACTGCACGCTTCTTTTCAGTGAGAAGTCATTATTCTCTGCCGATTTCTTATTCTGAAAAAATGACCGTATTATTTGACTCTGTCTCCATTGATAAACCTTGATCTGTAGTTTTAAACATCAATATTTTAAGTATTAGTTTATTGAATGGCAACATTTCTTAGGCATCCCATTATCTTATGTTGTGTTTATTACATGAGTAGTCAAACTAATTATAATTTCAAGCAAAACAATAATTTTCAGCTGCATGTCCTGTCAGCATCGGGTATTCATTCATGGTGTTGTTATTTATCCCCGGATATTTTTGTATAGTTAAATGCAACATTCTGACTTTATTTTGATTTGAAGTTACAACACCAAGATGTTCTGTAGTACCAATATTTAGTGCATGAGGGTTTTCTAAATGAAGCTATATTAACATGTTTATGCAATAGTGCACTAGGCTAGGTCTGTTCCCTCATGATGAAGACAATGCACTTTCAAGGCTGCATTCTAAGAACAGCAAAAATCATTGGTAGGGTTAAGCGTCACAAAACCAGTGACCTGAGCTGCCTGTATGTGCAATAACATCTGTTCAAGCAAATGTGCTGCTCATCCCTTGTCATGGAGCTATTCCATATTGCTATCTTCCTCTGAAATAGTGCACTCTGCAGAATGATGTCAGCTTAAGAGGCTGCCACGAGCAAGGAAACCCTTTAAAATGGTGCTAAAAGAGATGGGTTTTGAGCTCAGTCGGACCTATCCATCAAGAACGAAAGTAGTCTTTCATTCAGCGCAATTCCGTCATTCCATACCAGCGACACAGAGGTAGGTTTCATGTCACAAATGATAACTATTCACAAACTACACTAAATAATTCTTCTTCATCTAGTCAGAATAAATGTAATTCCACATACAGAATGGACAGTAAAGATTAACGAAATGTCAAATGGTTTAACCCTTTCTCAACTCTTAGCTCATCTTAAATAAACCTTAAAGATATTGTAACCAGCCAAGACGTTGTCTCTTTCCTTTTCGGCATGGAATAAACCCTTGGCTGTTCCTTTGTAACTAATGTTTAGCCTTTATGGAAGTTTAACAGAAAGAAGATAAAGAGCCAGATCTGGGAGAGTGGAGGCTAGGAGTGCTGCCTCTTATTGCATCAGCTTCCCTCCCAACTGTCTGACTACATCAGACGCTAACTTGGAGAGGGCTACCACAGATGGTGGGGTGTGGGAGAGGGAGCGTACTGTTGTCTGTGTTCCTTTTTTTATTTGTTCTGTGTTTGGTACCTTACAATTCATTTCAGAAAAAAGAATGGTTGCTGTTGCTGTCTCAGGGTGTTCTAATACAGTCCTAGCTGGCAAAATCCCTTGCTGCTTAAGGATGAAAGGGCTTTACTAATGCTTTACTAATTAAAAAAGACCAAAATGAAAGGTGTGGGTGCTTGGTCTTCTTTAGATATGTAAGTATTATCGTCAAAAATATATTTTTTATATTCATTAGAGGGATGCTTAATGTTGTTTCTGGTCATTATTGATCATTATTGAGGTTCTGTGATAGAGGCTTTTCTTTTGGTCATCCAAAACTCTGCCCAGTGCTTACTGTGTCGAGTTCATCAGCAGCCATCACAGGCGTTTCTGAATTATTTAGCGAAAGGGCGATTGGATTTTTATATAGCTGCCAAATCAACAGTGTGTGAATTGATACCCACATATGCTGCTCCAAGACTGTAAGAATAGGAGGTACAGTATCAATGAAAGAGACTGGATATAAAAGCTGATTTCAAGAACTCGAATTACAGTAAGTTATAGTTCCCTAGCTAAAAAAAAAAGTATCATTTGAAATTTTCTTCAGAATCAAACATCTAATCATAATATCACCAGAAAAAATTTTGGGTTTTGCTTTCCAGGAATGTCTACTTTTAAAAAGGCATTAACCTTTGTATTTAAGCTGACAGTAGTCAATGGTCTTTTCAGCATTATAAATTGCTGCCATTTCATTTTTTGCTGGTCTTTTTTCAGGTAAAGGTAGAGCCTCTCGTTGCCGCTCCCTCTCCTGTTATTCCCAGGCTCACTCTTAGGGTGGGGGCCGGTCAGGACAAAATGTAAGTACTGCCTCTCTCTAGATAAAAGCATTTGCATTCTGCTGACATTGAGTATTTGTATGGTTACCTCCAGTCCTTGCGACCAGCGTACTTTTACCTGTTCTAACAATTGACAGAGGATCTTCGGATCTTCTGAATGGGACAGGGCTGTCGATGCAGGCTCGTCCAGCTTGGGGGCGGCTCATGTACATGCTGGGCACTGGGAATCAAATTTAACCTGGACCCTGACCCAACTGAGAGAAACAGGAAGCAGGCAAATGTTGCCTAAGCCTGAACATATTTGCAGTCTTCGTGAGATGTACCATTCTATTTGAAATAGTTTATATATAGAATGTATAAACCATTTCAATAAGATGTGCATAATATAAATAATATATATCAGAATAATGGCTGTTGATTGTTATAATTTTTATGAACCACTGCAAGATTTTTTAAATATCTTAACGTTACTATGACTGTGACAAGCTACCGATTATAAGAAAACTAACAGCTCCAAAAGTATTCTCACCGATGCTATTATATATAATATTTGAACAAAAGTTAACAAAAATAAAATGATACACTAATGAATGACACATGTAACTTTTAATTTGTGGAATGTTTTTTTTAACAAAAAATATATTTGCCGAATGCACAAGTACATGTTTTGCTCATATTTACATTTCTACTGTCATAAAAATAGTATTATTACCCATGTGGTGATTTTAACTTGACCTCTTGAAGTAGTTGAGTTTTTGTTTGAGCCTGAGTTTGTTCTCAAATTAAAGCTAATTGTTTAGAATTTTATTGTGGCAATAAATGGGCTTCAGAAAATTAAGTTAATGCTCTGTGCAGTAAGCAAAACACATTGTGCACTGAAATATTATGGAGTACATATCTGTTTTTTTCCATAGATTACCAAAGTACACTAATGTGATTAAAGCATACAGTTGGTAGTATTTAATGTGAGCACTCATGTGAGCACCCTTTTTAAAACAGTAAGATCTAGACATTTTAAATGTTTGACTTTATTAAAATATATACTAATTTAAAATATTTAAAATGGTAAAAAAGGTGTAGCAAAGGACTTGATAAAATGGAGGATTTCCAGTTAAAAAAAACATACATGGCTGTTGAAAAGTATTTTGTCAGACAAATTAAAATGAACCAAGTGTTTATCTGGTAGCTCAGTGATTGCATTTACTTTAATGAGATTTTGTCTGGAAATCCCAGAGACTTGTGTCACCTTTGCTACAAAGTAATAGTGAATAATTCCACTTCACTTGTTTGAGTCTTTGGGAGCGAAGAAGCCTTTGCTCTTGAGGAGGTCAGTATGACATCACACAGAGCGTCTGATGTGGTATAGGGCCTCGTCATTTTCACTCCACAGACGGGATGTGAAAATGATTAGAATCTTCGCTATCGGTCAGACATGGCTTAGGTCCAAGATGTTGCCATATTCAGAGTATGAATGTATTAAATTGTGGTTGTATTTGTGGTCTTTACAAATAACCTTCATGTACATTTGTTTGGAAGGAAATGTCACCTTGTTGGTATACTGTGTGAAAGATTACGAATGTGAGTTTCTCCTGCTCACTACTGCTACCACGGGATCAGACCCTCCTTACAGACAATAATGAAACATTTATATTAACAAAGTTAAATACCCTACTGACAAGGTCAGTGTAATCTCCTGTGACAATCAGGTGTTGTCTATAGACTTATACTAAAACTAATATTTAAATAAGAAAATTATTTAAGGATGTGAGTACTTTTCCTTAATAAATCCTAACTTTATTATTTTGTCAAACGGTATAATTATTCATTTCCTGTTGTCTTGAAGCTTTATAACTAATTGGAGTAAGTGTTTATTAAACTCAACATAAAATTCTCCTTATTACAAATGTTGTTCAGGTGATATGTAATATGAATGCATCTACAATTGTCATTTAATTTGAAAAAAAAATCATGTTTTTTTCATTATGTTTTGCATATGCAAAATACAAGAGTACACCTTTCACTCTATCTGGAAAAAAAACCTTCCTTTAGCGTGGAACCAAAACTGCTAATATGAAAATGAACTGCTAAAACAGAACCTGACTGTATTCAGCAGTCAAAAGTGGAAGTATATTTTATAACACTATTTTTAATATTTAAATAATCTCTGCTTAATGTTCTTTTGTCTTCTCTTAGCTTCCTACAGCACATTCCCATCACAGTACTGAAAACACTGTAGATAATGTATCCCTTTCTGGAACTTTAATTTTTATAGTCATCATCTTATGTCGTGGGTTTTCATGATATTTCCACATGTTTAAAGGTATCCAAAGAGAAAGCATGTTTTAAAGAAGATGATACCAAAACAAATGGATTCCCTTTAAGTACAACACCAATATTACACATAGTTTAATGACTTGAACATATTTGTAGACATTAATGATTTAATTATGGAATTATTAACATTTACATAGTATACGTTTAATATTTCGAATAAAAATCTTAAGTGTTGACTTAGATTTTTGTCTTTCACTAACTCTTGCTTTGTCTTAAAAATGTTACGGCTGTAAAGAAAGCTGAACTTCTTAGCACTAGCCACGACAGAGTTAAGCCATTGAGATTGCTGGCAGTATAATGTTTGCACACAATAGCTGAATAATGGGGTCATTAAACTCCTGGTTTGGCCATATTCACACCAGGCCTGCCTCTAACCTTTACTCAGTATGTGTGGTCAGGGCCAAGAGGAATGGCCCGTTTAGAGGCTTGTCAGGCAGTGGGTATGCATTACATCCAGAGCAACCCGTGACCTGTTTTGTGCAGTCGCCTATTCTGTGGCAGAGAATCAGGTAAATGGAACCCTGCTGGATGCCCCTCCTACAGCACGTTTTCATCAATAAGCCCAGTGTTTGTGGCACTTAACTCACTGTGACCAAAATCATCCAGTGCTGTAACTTAAGCAGCAAGGGGCTATTATGAAGCCCAGCTGTGGGCGGTGTCAGTTACTCCATTGGAGACTGTCCATTCAACAAGGAACTCAAGAGGAAAAGCTTGCCATTGAGTGGAAAAGGAGCACAGGCTGATACCTCAGTACCGAAATTGCATTAGCCCGTCTCTGAAAAGAAAAGAGTGATCCTACTGGAATCTATTTAAATGGACCTTTCATACTGCAAAAGACAGGAACTGTAGTGAGGTATTCCTCACTGTTTATGAAAATACAATCTCATGTTAAAAAAAATCACAAATTGAAGTTCATGCTCTGCTATATATAGATTTTTGAAATCGTCTTTTTATAGAGCAATTTCAATATTACTGCTGTAATTTTCTTTACATGCCACTTTTAGTATTGACACATGTCCACAGCAACATTTCCTTTATTACACTAAATCCTTGTATGCGGTGGATCTTATTGGCAGTGCAAATTGATTTAAGGGTAATAGTTTTCAATGTATTCGGAGTTGCAAAATCCAGAATTTTATTATTATTGGTTAGTCTTGATTTTTTTTCCCTACACCTGTAACTTTACATTATTGACATAACATAAATTAATTTTAATTAGGAAACTATGTACAGTTGTGAATTCTCACATTTAAACAATTTGTGCATGATAATGTGAGTTTTCTTTTCAGATTTCCATTTGTAATAATTAGCATATTTCAGCAGCATTTAAAAAAAAACTTGGTTTAATGTAGGATATGTGCATAATACCAACATTATAGAATGTTTTTAGTCAGGCATTATTCTACAACTCTCTGTATTGTAAAATTGTCAAATAATTAATTATGAACAGACAAAAAATGTGATATTTTTGAACTAATGAACAGTGAGCTTAAGAAAATGAAATCATAACATATCACATATTGGTTTTGAAGTTGACGTTTAAAATCCTGTTGGCCCATATTCTCCTATCATAAAACACTAAGGAAGTGGTAGAAAGCACTTTAATTGTTGAGAGTACAATGTTTATAAATGGTCTTTGTTCCTCCCAGATGCCCTGATTTCCACCACCATTTCAGGAAGGAAGTATTATATTCTCTTTAATGTTTTTTTGTAAAAGCTTTTATGTTGAGACTTTTAAATGCTGTTTAATCAGCTACCAAAATGATGAAAGTCATCCTTGTATTCTCACTGGCTTTGTTATAGTGTATTTCAATTTTTTTTAATAATCCCCAAACAATTGTAATTAGAGTACACGGTTGTAATTTTTCTGTCTTTATATGAAGTAAATTTGTCTTATTTATTATGTGTTGAATCAAGTAGGGTTTAAGATTTACTTGTATCATTCGCAGTATGTACAGTACATGGCTTAATTTGAATGGAGAAAGACTTAAGGGTAATTCATTTTGTGTTACGGTCATGTCTATCAAAATTTTTTTGTCTGTTTTTTTCCCCAAAAAAATCTAGCTCTTTAATTTACCTAATCCAACACAATTCAAATAACTGCACATACAATGGCTTTGTTTTAAGATGTGCAGTGGTAGGTTTGTCATGGAAGTACCTGTATTTGGAAATGTGGCAACAATAACCTTTCACCTAGAAGATCATAAGGTCACTTCCTGAGCAGGGTAGCCTTCACTGGAAATGTGCTTATCTTTCAAATCCTGACCACTGTCAGTGTGTGGCTTTTTACTGTCAGAGGTGTTGTCCTTCAGATAAGGTGTAAAAAATGTCTCTTGTCTCTTCCACAGCTCATTCGGTGACACTTGTCAGAAAGGTCGACCACATGGAGCTCTGTGCCTTGACCAGATTACCCTGAACACAATTTACTAGGGGTGCAAATCATAGCCATCACTTTTTTTGTTACAGGCATGACAACACCTATTATATTTATCCTATTATTTGGCTGTTAGTTCTGATGGAACTTCAGGCATCCTTCTGTTTAAATGGTTTAAGAAAATAAATGCAAAAATATTGGTATTTGCACAAAAAAATGTGGTGCTCAGTTGTTTTTATCCCCTTTGAAACGTTCAATGTAAAGGGAGGTTAACTGATCACAAAGGGTTCTGAAGGAATTGAATAAAAAACAGTACTTTTTTGGTATTTTTTCCCCACTGCTCTTTGTGAACTTTTAAATGAAATAATAGCTTGTTTTGATTGAGTTGGAATTAAAAATGAAAATATTATTTTTGGATTAAAGGCCAGATATAACTAAAGTTGTTCCGGTCAATTTTGTTTCCAGTATTCTCAGTGGTTAAAGTGAGAGCAGATTACACAGTTAGCTAATTTTCTAACATTTTAAAGGATTTAAGCCTGATTTAATGAATTCCAAGCAACCTCTGTTTATTATGTAAAGAACACATAGGACATTTATCGTACTCATTTACACCCATTAAATATTTAAGTCATTGTTTTCTTTTGCATCAAAAATGACTTATATTACACAATTGACACAAATGTCACCTACTGCCTAGGTTAAATTAAAATGATATAATAATCCCCTTTCTCCTTTCCTGTAGCGTCATCAGCAAAGTGGTTTCCACCCAAGAGGCTAAAACCCCAGCTCCCAGGACTCCAGTCCCCAAGGCTGCTCCTGCTTGCCGTCCCAGGACACCTCCCCCGCCCCCGACCCCAGCTCCAGCCCCCGTTCACGTGGCCGCCCCGCCCGCGCCGGCCCCCCAGCCGCCCCCTCCCCCAGCGCCGGCAGCTGCCTCGCCTGCCCCGGTGCCACCGCCCTCACCGGCGGGGCCTGCAGCTGGCTCCTCCAAGACACCTGTCCGCAGCGTGGTGACAGAAACCGTCAGTACCTACGTGGTGAGTAACACCGCCACCGGGCCACTCGAAACACCTGTCATCCGCACACTGTTCACACTTCGGAGTATTCCAGAAATCCTCCTGCCTGCTCTGATAGTGTTACGAGTCCCAGGTGTACAGTTGGTGTACTGACTGGTGTAGTTTATATGAACCTGGAAAAAATAAGATACAATGAATGTCCAGAACCCTAGTGAAGAGTTGGACAGGCCAGCTTTTCTTCTTCTGCCACATTTGTTTTATGTTTGTAGGAAAAATAATAAAAATAAGCCCAGTAAAGATCATGAATTAATTGTTTGAAGAAAAGAAATGACTTGTGGATAATTTTGGAATCTAAAGCCCAGCTACCTAGCATGCAGCAGTGGAAAAATTGCATAGTAACAAGACCTTTTAGATCTTATCAGGAAGCTCTGTAAAACACAAGCTGCAACAATTATTGTTACTGTTCAGGATAACAGTCTGCCTGGTAACCCTGCTTAACTCTTTCCTGGTATTCAGAAGGTGCTTGTTAAAGTTAACAGCACAGTACTTTCAGTTTATGTCAAAGATGGCTTAATTGGGCATTATCTAGTAATGAATGAGGATGCTAAATGAGCTGCTCGTTTTCTGTTTCCTTAACAGAGACAAGATGTTTTGTATATTGGGTAGTTTGTAACAATGAACAAGTTGGGTGATTTACAGGTGCTAAATGCAAATCTTGATCTCCTTTACCACCTCCAGTCATGATAAAAGCAAAAGCACATAAAATGATGAAAATGTATTGAAGAATTTGACTCCTTATACAAAAAAAACAAATAAAAAGAAGTATGTTTAATTTAAATATCCCAAAAAGGGTAATTTTTTGAAGGTTTTTTAAATCCTAATTTATAAATTGCCACTGAGGGATGCATATCCTACACAAGAAGGCACAGTCTTGCACAGTGCAATTTACTGGACAAATCTAACTGAAGTAGCTTGCCAAAAGTATAACAAGGGTGTCACTTCTGGTATTTCAACCCACTACCCTCTGGTCAGCAGTCTGGAGTCCTAACCACAACTGTGCATCACTCATTATTGATTATTTGATTAGATTATTAAAATCACAAGATCTAGAATATGAAATGCAACACTCAAGGAATGAAATCCAACTTTAAACTTGAGAAAGTTGGAAGAGAAATATGGAAGGTCTTATTTCATATATAAAATGTATTTAATGATAAGTCATTTTCTTCACAAAGGATCTCAAAGTGTTTCACATAAAAAGGGGAGCCTACTTCATTCACTGCTGAAGGGCAGAATCCACCTGAGTGACGTTCAGCAGACACTGTCCACCACGTCTTTCACCGTACAGCATATCTAGTGGTGTAAGGTGGAGAAGTGAGAGATTGCATTAGTCCAGAGTGGACGCTTAGGAACATTGCCTTGGGATCTTCAATGGCTGAGTATTCAGAACCATATTATCAAATACTACCTTAACTTTAAATACTACTTTTTCAAGAACATTGACTCAAAAAAGAAAATATTTTAAATAATCAGTACTGAGATTTGGTATCTCAATATGTTGAGAGAAAACTTTATAATAGGGACATTATTGCACAGTTTACAACACACATTCTTCAAAAACTTAGTAGGTATAATCAGATTTAATCTATTGTAAGATTCACTATAGTTGAGTTGATTTGCACTGATCAGAGGTAATGTCAATTTATTGATTCAACCACTGTAATAGGCATTTTTGTCAAGATTTGTTTTGAAAATAGTTCATATGTACCTCACGCCTGGCAGACATTCAGATTCTGAGTTCAGATCTGTTGACTGCTAAGGCCGTGAAACTACACAACACAATATTACAGTGCCACCAGAACCTTTTACTGCTGGAACCTTGGTCCCAGAGCTCTTTGGCTTGGCACCTCATGTGTACTCATCTGTCTGTTGAGAACATGGTGAAGGATGATTCACCCGACAGTATCAGAGATTTACCACTGCTCGGTGGTGCATTCCCTGTGCTCATTGCACCGCTGGGCTCACGAATGTGCATTGCCAGGTGTGATGAGTGCTTTGTTCAGTGCAGCCATACTTTGGCATCTCACTCTGCGGAGCTCTAAGTGGACCGTTTGTAATTAAACGGACCGCTCGCACCCAGGGTTGACATTTACACTCATTTGACTTCAAACTATTGAATGGATAAACCATCCGGGAATGTGCTCTTCCACTCACGGTGGCTGCTTCGTTCAGCGAAGCTCCTGCCAAGCGCACCACAAGAATCATCCGCTTTTCAGACTTACTGAGGTCTTCTCTTGCAGCCATGCTAGCCATAATTAGGGACAACCATGTCTCTTCCCCATTTTCATACATGACTATCAGTATGCTGGGATATTATTTAATTAATGCACGAGCCACACCGGTGTGAAAATGAATATTCTTGGTTCCCCCACATTTCCCCCACATGTTTCTGGTTTTTGTTTGTTACCTGTAGTTTTCACTAGGGCCAGTGTACCACAAACCTATCAACTTGGTGCAACTTGCTTATAATATTATAGGTGGTTGTAGTCATCACGTGACAAGATTGATTCCCCACAATGGACACGAGCCAGAGGACGCAAGTGGAAACTGTGAAACTACATTGACAATGAAGAACAGAAGGCACTTAACACAGTGAGATGTAGGAATCTGGAAGAAACTGCCCCTCCATGTCGGTGAAGATGTCACCCTGGCTTGTTTCAACAAATAGTGGGATGAAATTCTTGAATCACCACATGATCTGCATGGGCTGAATGGCCTCTCATTTGTTACCTTTCTTATGTTTTAAAGTTCTTCCATTTACAGATCAGTACCTAAAGATTTATACAAGGAAAGTGGCAATATTACCTCAGATATCAGTGATATTGCTGAATATTTAGTATTTCACAGATGACCGAATGAGGTTCTTAATACTATGTGTAAGATTTTTAGAAAGCAAGTAGCTTCAAGTGACATGGTAAGATAACTTAAAAAACTGAAACGGTAGTACTGAACAACAGTACGCAAAGCAAAAAAGATGACTTGTCAATACTTTATTGACTACATTAAATAGTTAACTGAAACCTGTTCATCCTATTATTAGACTCTGGTGTAAGGTTTTGTGAAATTCAGGAAATACAGCAGTTGAAGAATAAAAAAAACAATCTTAGTTTTATTTTTTACATGTTTTTATATACCATACTATACTTTAAAAGTGTAACCTGGGGTTTTATTAAACTCCATTTAGATTTTACCTGAAAGGTATACAGTTCTTGCGAAATGGTATTTTTTCGGCGATATTATCAGTCGAAAAATGAAGATAAGACACCAACAAAAAATCCCCGCTGTTTCCTCTTCAGTCTTAAATGTGCAGCACAGTGAAATCTAAACTATCTTAAGATATGGCTGCAAAATGTAGAAAGCTTGTAGACTGCTGCCAGTATTTTTTTTTCTGTTTTACACTTAATGTGTTTATGGGACTTGAAAAATGCGCATTGTTACATAAAATAAAAATGTATTTCTAATTTGTTTAATTGGAATTTTAAGCTTGGCTGGAAGCAAACTTGTTACAGGAGAGTCTTATATTATCAGAAAAACATCAGAGAGCTGTAATTAACTGCTGTATAGCTGATGTAAAAAATAGTGAGGTTCCCCTAAAGCTTTCATTTCATGAGATAGAGATACAACTGAAATATACAACTTTCCAAACATAGAGTGTATAAATCTTTGTCGTTTTAAATATATGTAAAATGCTGTTCATGTAAAATGTCTATATTTAAGTGTCAACATTTTACAAGTCGGTGTGAATTTTGTCAGATTATTGCCTTTTAGCAGTGGTTTCACACTTAAAGAATAATGTCACTGATGGTGGACAGAATCACCTCTTAGGAAGTGTAAGCATTTTTCTTGTTTGTTGAATTGACCCATTTCTGGTATAATTTGAATGACATAAGTATGCATTTAAATCAGAACATGAATGTGATTAAGGAAAGCAGATTTATGCTGATATTTTTCATGATTTTAGAAACAGCATATTTTCCATCACAGATGTCTCTGGTTGGTTTATCTTAAAACACAGTTTCTTGTTTTTTTTGTTTTTGTTTTGTAATGGTAGATTCGAGATGAATGGGGAAATCAGATATGGATCTGTCCTGGCTGTAATAAACCTGATGATGGGAGCCCAATGATTGGCTGTGATGACTGCGATGACTGGTATCATTGGTAAGAAGTCTTAGAAATACTCTTTTGTTGTTTTCAAATACTGACCTACATGCTGCTCATTTGTTAGCTACTACATGACCTCACTGTTCTTTCTAAAGGGTATAATAATAATGCCATGATGCTCACTAATCAAATCTGGTATTAGTGAATTAATTTGCTATTTTTTATTTAGCCTTTTTTTAATTAGTGAATTATTGCATATTGAATTAGATCTTATGTCTTAATACCGATCTGTTAAACGAGTGCTTAAGAAAGATGGCTAAAGTTATTGTCAGATACAAAAATCTTTTTTATTGTACTTATTTTGTATTGTTAGAAAGCAATGTCTCTTCACCTACTTCAGCTAGAATATGTCTTCATGTAATTTACATGGTCTGTTTCTTCCGCTTCGTCAATTTTGAATTTACGCGGGCCTGCGCATTTTAAATGATGTGCTAAGCAGACACTAAATCCCAAACTTAACTTTTAGAGCTGTAAGAGCAGCTTGCATGTTCTCTCAGGAATAAAATGAATACTCAAGCTATCTGCTCCGCATAGAAACTGTTACAGACTATCTCCTAGACTGGCCCAGGCCAGGAGCATAGAAGAAAAAGAGCTGCAAAGCATAGCACCATTCCAAGGGCACTGGCCATAAATGAAATCCGCAAAAACAAATTTGTTGAACCCTAAACGGATTTCAGAAACTTCATCAGCCCATATAAGATGGAACAACTGCCTCCAAATGCTCTTTTCCACCAAGCAGCAAGCAGTGTGAGTGTCACCTTCACTGAAGGTTAATACGATACACACACAAGAGCCTAAAGCTGGAGTGTCTGGAACGAGCTCAGGAGCTGCCTACGTTAAAGGCAGCCAGTGAGCCAAAACTGATGGAGAGGCAGTCGTAGCAAAGACAGGTGTAATGCTAGTGATTTTAAACTTTAACCCCATTACCAAGTTTCTGCAAATTAAAAATCTGCCTGACCAGAAAGACTGCTGCCTGGCTGTTTCAGTGGTTCGCTTTTCTCTAAGTGTATTTGGAAGATTGTAGAAAACGTTTTACTGTGCGCCCTAATGTAAAATAACATATATGCTGCAGGGAAAGTTAAATCTCAAATTGAGACATACAGTAGCGCACCATCTAGAAAGATTTTAGGAAGATTTGTTATATTATATATATAATATATATAACTGTTATATTACCATTTAAAATACCATCCATGCACTACATTTATTTTATTTTATTTTCACATTTAGGCTACAAAGAACATTGATGGGTGCCAAAAGAAATCCCTTAATATGAACTTTCACTTGTTTCACTGTATGAAAAATAATACAGTGACAGCTACAAGAAGCTTACCAACTCATCTGTCTTAGGAGCGTTAATCAAATAAATGCTTAATTTTAACCCTCTAGTGCTGAAGCTCATAGCACCTAGGTACGTTGCTGCACTGCCCCCTCCCTGAGTCTTAATAGTGAAGAGGCATTAATTGGGAAATACCATTATATCACGAAAGCTGTTGAAAGGGTTTTTGTTCCATCTCTTCTCTAATTTATGGTACCCTAATCCCTTGCCAACCGCAAGAGTTAAAACCCTTAAAACCCTCATGGTTGATAAACGTGAGGCCTTATGGGAAAAGAGGGTTAGGATAACTATTAAAATGCCTCAAACATTGTTTTCACTTATTATGAATCAAAACAATAGCATCAGAGTACAGTACAACACAATATATTTTGGAAATAATGTGGTTCAGATAGTTTTTTAATGAGTTTGTCACATAATTCCTATCTTTATTGGTATCTCTATTGCTACCTGACCAAATCAGGTCAGGTAGCAATAGCTTCCTCACTTTTCTTTATTGTACAAATTGTAGATGAATTTACACCAAACAACTGACCAGCAGCACTAGTACTTAATCTTCGCACAACTAAATTTTTAGCAACACTCTTTGACCTTTCCCATACACTTAGCAGCCATTATAATTTATTAGTTTATTTCTTTATTATTAAACTACTGTCATTTTTAATTTGGAATTCACTATCATGAACACATCACAGCTCATGGATGCTTCTCAAACTCGCGGATGCTCAAAACTAGGAACTGCGGAAGGCAAAGTGCTATACAGAACATTTGTCGCAGATACTCAAAAATCAGGAAAGGTAAATTTGAGTATAGCAAGGAATTGGTGTTTGATGAAGAGGATTGTTTCATACTGGCTGCATGTACATTATAATGTAATGTAATGAAATATTACATAGGCCTAAGTGGAAATAACACACTCTTTCTCTTATGATCCAATCTTTGGGGGCCAAACTCAGAATTCAATCATGGGCAGTTCACACTGGATAGGAGAATGGAAAGTTATCTGTTTATAGTTACTAAAGCTCTAAGCCAGATTGTAAAGGCAATAATTAATGTATTTTGGGAATATGCATTTTATATGAATAGAATGTTTTGTTAATATTCTTATTCTTTTCAGGCCTTGCGTTGGTATCACAGCTGCCCCGCCAGAAGAAGTTCAGTGGTATTGCCCTAAATGTGCCAATAAGAAGAAAGACAAAAAACACAAGAAAAGGAAGCATAAAATGCATTGAAAGAAAAAATGTTTGTAACTCTCTGAGCCACTTTCTGTTTTTGTTCTTCCTGACTGCAGAAATAATGAATTGCAGATAGCGAAATATATTTTAGTTGCTAACTTTGGATGTTACATGACGCCCTTGAATTTAGTAGGATATAAATTCTGAAATGAGTGCATTGTCCTGGATCAGTATTCTTATTAAAGACCACTGTCTCTTTTGAAAACAATTTTAAAAAAAACAGGAAATCAATACAGTATTCTGAAAGTGGTGCTCAAACATGCATCAGTTGCATAGTCTCATACTACACCATTTATGTAGAATTAGTGAGGGACAAATGCATGACCAATTGACTACTCCACAAAGACTTAGTAATTAAAGTTTGCTGTATGCTTTCATATGCAGTCTGTATGAGTACAAATACATTTGTTTTTTTAGAGTGGCATTGTGAATCTGAAAGGAACTTTTGACCGGCTTATGTGACTGCGGTGTGAAAAATACTCCCTCTATATGAATTTGGTCTGATTATGTAAAACTATTATTGCATCCACCCCGGATTATTCTGCACCTTTGTTATACTGTAGGTTGGAATAAAGATCTACAGGTCAACTATAGTTGACCATGCCTCTAGATAGTTTTTACCAGTACTGTGTTAAATATATTTGGTGGTTGAATTTTCTGTAGGGAACAGAAAGTAGCCATTATTTGGCGAAGCCATTGTAGAACAAAAAGCTCTACAATGAAAACTCACAATCTAGTTAAAAGCAATTCCAAATAAGAAAATTCGACCCATGACATGAATATTGGCAAATAAACTGAAATGATGGATAAAAGACAAACTCAAAGAAATCCACACATAGTTAGCAGTAAACAGAATATTATAAAACTGAATTGAAATGGTTGTGTTTTCCTTTAAACAAACTTACACTGTACTAGTTGAGAAATCTGTTCTGTTCGGTAATACTGGTTATTTATTATCGGATACTGTTGTCACTGGCAGTGCAGAATGCAGTTTGTAACTTTACCCTGAGCCCTACAGCAAGGTTACTCAATTTGTGGCCTTTCCAGTCTGGACTTCTGGGAAAACTGCCACAACCAACTCCTTACATATTCAGTTGGTTTAATAGCAAGATCAATGTAACCAAGTTTTGTTTGTATCAAAATGTGACAGTGGACTAGACTGGAAGAGGCTGCAGTGTAAGAAGCCAAAGCCTACAGATTGCCATTCTATAAACCAATGCATTTCATTTAGATGCTTGTTTTTGATAGAAATTATTCCTACAGTATATCAGCTTCCCAAAACCTGTTGAAATTTGTTTCTGAAAAAATCTCTGCTCTAGATAAATGACAATATTTATGCTGGACATCAAAACCCCTGACAGGACATGGGGCTGACCATACTATACAATTTTGGTCTTTTGTTTTGTTTTTCTTATGCATCTTGTTAGATCTTGGATTTCATTGTGTGGCAAGTGCTGAACCCCAATACCAGTAGTATGGCAAGGGATCAATCTATTTGCTCCATCTGAATACGCCAGTGATGCAATCTTATGGTTGTTATAGAGGATCCAGTGTTCCCCTATGGCTTAAATTACAGTTTTAATATTCAATTATTGTTGTTATTACAAAAGAGCTTTGTAAACCTAGAAGGGTAGTCAGTTTTTTTAATCTCTGTATTTTTGTGCATCATGCCATGAGAAAGAAAATCTGTATATGTATATGTATATTAATTGTGTGTATATATTTGTACATAAAAACTACCAAAAAAAAGTGTCCGTTCCTTTGATTCTGACCTTTCTTCCCCACATATTCATTTATGAACTTTGATTATTCTGTAATTATTGTACATTTTTTAAAATGAAAGTTTGTATCTCTTTATTTTTCTCTATATTGTCCCTATTGTAGTTGTGCTTGTAATATATTTTATTTGCTTGACTTTTCCTATTAAAGATATAATGCCACTCCCCGTAAGATTTTAGACTTCTTGTTACTTACATTGATATCATAGCTACTGTATCTCTGAAAAATCAGAAAAATCTGTATTGAGAATAATTTTAAAATTTTATATTGTGTTATATGTTAAAATTATTTTTCTTCTTTTTCTTCTGTGGATATAGTCTTCTCGTCTGATTTATGGAATAAAGACTGCAGAAGTCTTTTACATATTAGCAGTTTTAAAAGCTGTTTTGTTTTAGTGACTAATGTTTTTTTCAGAGTTGTTGGTACATGCCCCTGTGATATCTACCAAAAAAACAAAAGTCGCCTCATAAACTCATTCAGTCCAGTCTTAAGTTCTGGTTTGAATGGAAATGGTTTTGGGGGAATTGGGCAAGTTGTCTTGTTCAATAAAATGTAGAATGAAAGGAAAACATTTTAAAAAGATTGTCTTCAGATCTTTCTGTCTCATTACATATGAAATATGTATGACACGGGAATAAATAGTAACCACGAAATATATATATATAGTTTTAATTATAAAGAAAAATTTTACTTGGCATTATCCAGACTTCATATTCCTATAGTTAAGAACCACATCAACAAGCAAATGTCAATCCCCTGGGTGCTGCAGGTTCGTGATCTCAGGTGAAACAAGCCCTGTGCTGGAAATATCAATAGCTGATGAGTACTTTCCTGACCTGAAGTCGAAATGAAATGAAACAGACCAGGAAATTAAGTTTTCAGAGCAAGATGTACTGTAGTTCTTCTGAAGGTATATTACTTACATGTTAGAAAACTAGTATGTGGACTGTTATATCTTTCTTTTGGTTTTATTGTTCATGTACCACCAAAATGTAACTGCTTAATGTTAATGTTCTGAACCTTAATTAACAGTTGTAATTACAACATCTTGCAGTGGCATATGCTCACACACACTGAACACTTGCTTCATACATACATCTCAACTCATTACAGTATTTGCTCGTACTTCCATTACAGAACGTTGGACAGCTTTTTCAGATTTATTTTTTCTCTCCAGTCTACAAATTTTGTATTTACAGTTTTCATCCATATGTGTTAATGCTTTTACATGCAAAGGTAAGCAAAACCAGAAGTGTATACAGTATAGCACCAAGAGCACTCAATACTTCAGAACTGTACAGTAAATATAGTTTGGAGATAAGAGAATCCTTGAAGCATTTTAAACATTTTAGCTTGCCAATGCATTTCTGTTAGTCAAAAAATAGCATTTATTTAGTCTGCAGAAGAAAGCACTCCACTACATTGGTCAGGTAGGTTGGTGAGTTGTTGCAGACAATAAGTGAAGCTCATACCTTGTATTACCAGCAAAACACACAGAATAAGCCAAACGGCTGATTGTATTTATGATATAATTTGAATTATTTCTCCTGACCTTTAGAAACTAACTCTCAAAACTACATGAGTTTTCTGCTGTTATTTCTGGTAATAATACAGCTTATTATATGCCAGAAATGTAAATAGTGTCGTGATGATTCTATAATACCACCAAGTAAATCTGAACTGTCCGAATGTAATTAACCATTTTAGTGAACCCCTTGACTTGTAAATTAGCATGGAAATGACTCGAATTTTTGACTTAATCATGATTAGATTATGAAGTCTATGCCCAATTAGTAACACAAAATTTAGACATCTAAATGAAAACAAAATAAATGCTAAATAAACACCTACATCTAGACTGCAGTGTCACTGTCTTCCGGTCTGATCTCATCAGATCTACACAAAATCTTTAGTTAGATTTAGTTGGTCGAGTTAGGAGACCTTAAAGGAAAACCACATTTCTGCTGCAAGTAGTGTTGGACCAATAAGTGATACTTTAATCGGGAACACTGGTGTCATCCTTTGGATGAAATGTTTAACTGAACTTCTGGCTACTTTGTCATTAAAGACACCAAGGCACTCCGCATTAAACAGTAGCAGTACTAATACAATAAATGGAACCATGGCCACCTGACAGCTGCCTTTATGCCTTGAAAGGAGCAAATTTACCCAAAATCATACCATATGATTCTCCTAGAGATTGCAAAGTTACATCCAGGGATCTACAATCTTCTGTCAATACGGTAAATGTTGGCATTGACAATTCTGCCATTAGAAAAAGACTGAACAAGAACAGCTTTCATGTAAGGGTAGGCAGCAGAAAGCCCCTGCTTTCCAAAAAGAATATTGCTGCATGGCTGAAGTTTGCAAAATTGCACCTGAATGAACCACGAGACTTCTGAAACAATGTCCAAAGTAGAGTTGTTTGGCAATAATGCCGAACAACACATTTGGTGAAAACAAACCACTGTATATCACCACAAGAACCTCATACCAACTGTCAAGAATGGTACTGGAGGGGTGAAGATTTGGGCCCTGCTTTGCAGCCGTAGGTCCTGGACGCCTCACAGTCATTGAATCCACCATGAATTCCTCTCTATACCAAGGGTTTCTAGAGGAAAACGTGAGACCATCTGTCTAACAGTTAAAGCTTAGCTGAAAGTGGATCATGAAACAGGACAATGATCCAAAACATACCAGTAAATCTATGACAGAGTGGCTGAAAAGGAAAAGAATCAAGATTTTGGAATGGTCAAAGTCCAGACCTCAAACCCACTGAGATGCTGTGGCAGGACATAAAGAGAGCTGTGCATAAATGAATGCCCTGAAAGATCACCGAGTTGAAGCAGTTTTGTATGGAGGAGTGGGCCAGAACTACTACCTGGTGTTGTGAGAGACTGATAAACTCTGACAGGAAACATTTACTTCATGTTATAGCTGAAAAGGGGGTTCCTCACATTACTGAATCACGGGGCGCACTTAATTTGATACTCAAGGCTACTAAACATTGGCTGATATTATTCTTTAATATGTAATGACAAAGTTAAATTGTCACATGCAGTTAGATTTATCTACTCTTAAGACTTGATGAGGACTAGATGAAGGTCAGATATATCTTCATATATATAAAACCATAGAATAGTAAGGGGTTTACTTTTGTTTTTCACATTACTGTATAACAAAAAGAGTATTCGGCCTCAGGAGCAAATGCTATAGGAATTACGAGTTCCACAATCTTAATGGACAAGACTAATAAAAAAAAACATTCTAAATGTAATGTGTTAAGAGTATGCTATGTACCACTAAATGCACAAAGTTCTACACTGAAAGTTGCAAGAACTGAACGTTTTAAATCTTGACCACAGATGACTATAAGGGGACCTGATCCAAGTATTCAAAATGCTTAAAGACGCTGACAAAGGTCCGTTAATCCAGAGGATTTTGTAAGAATCTGCAGCAAAACACAAACCGAAGGTCCCAAGTGGAAACTACAGGCAAGTTAACCGAGTTAAAGTTAAAACTGGGAATTGGAAGTCTTTACGCAAAGGGATGTTGGAGTATGGATAAAGCTACTCACCCAAGTAATTGAAGCCAGTATCCCAGTTTCTGCTGAGAAACGGATGAGTTTCTTGGTACAAACTACCAAAGAAGAGAGGTGGACTGAATGGCTTCCCTTCATTTGTAACTCTTCTTGTGCTCTTATGAATCTTAATCAGAAGGGAGATTGTTATCTATGTTTGACTTGAGTATATAAAACCACAAGGAAATTGTATCAAATTGATGAGCAGTGTGAGTATAAAAATGTAAACTTACTTAAAATACTCATCTGTTTTTTTTAAAGTATTAACAGAATGGTTTGACAAGCTTCCCATACAATGCTAATCATTGAAAACTACAAGTTGCGGTCACCCATCAGTTTCATATGTGTTCCAAGTGAACAGCTACAACTAAACACAACCCTCCTTTAGCAATATTAAAATACAGAAAGGGGTCTTGCGGGGTAATCTGAATGCAGAGTATGTATGTTGGGGAAAAAAAAGTGTTTCTAAGACAGATGAACAAGTAATTTCTTTGGTAGAATCCTCTCATTAAAAAAGAAACCGAAATGTCTTAAAATCTGATAGCTGTAGGAGATGATAAACTTGGCTATCTTACTCTAGAACATTTTGCGGTATTCTACTATCAGCCTCAGTGATTTGCCAAAAACACCAAAGATTACGGCAATGAAGGTGGGGGCTGACTTTATAGCAGGTTCTTGTGAAAAGATAAGAGAAATGAAAGAAGCAAAAATACATTGTCAAAGACATGTTAGCAAACAGAAGGTTACAGTTTTTGGTCATATGAAGACAATTATAAGTAATCCTTTCCGCATGAAATGAGGCACAATTAGATTGCATTCAAAGGATATAGATAGCAATAAAGCTGTTGTACCAAAGTCTGACCTTTTTGACTTAACTGTCATCAGCGTACTGTAGAATTGTGCTTAAGCACACTCATAATTTGCAAAAAGAATGTATCCATTGACTGCAGGCTGATTCAAGCTCTACAAGGACCTGGCGATTGTTAAAGCTGAATTGCAAGATTGCAAACCATGATTTAATGAAACTTTTTTGTCAAAATCATGACGTGAGTTAGAACTCCGCAAATTCGAAGCTGCGATCTAAGCGCATTGAAAATGACAACAGAGACCCATAGTGCAATTGAATGTGAGCTTTCAATAAGCAAATATATATTACAGGACATATTAATCTTATGTTATCTATTTTTTCAAGTTAATCTGTCAAGAAGCTTTAGATATATTGGCTTGATCTTGAGAAAAATAAATCCAAAACAGAGTGCAAAATGGTTTCCTGTTCACTGGCTAAATGCTTAAACATCCAACAAAATTAGTGAAGGGGTGGTGGCACTGTGGTGCAGTGGTTAACATTGCTGCCTTGCAGCACTGGAGGCTCTGGCTCAAGTCCTGGGGGGCTGTCTGTGTGGACTCTGTATGTTCTTCCCTTGTTTGTGTTTCCACTGGGTGCTTTGGTTTCCTTGCACAGTCTAAAGACATAAGAGCAGGTTAATTGCCTTCTGAGAAAATCTGTCATGGTGTTAATGTGTGTATGTTTGTCTGTCTGCCCTGTGATGGACTGGTGTCCTGTCCAGAGTGTAT